GATCCTACTTCATCTTGTTTTTTTTAATTTTTTATGTTCTTGTTTGTGTTTAGTACATGGTTTTGGGCCAGATTTAGCCAAACTTGAAATTGAGAGAATTTTCTATTTTTATAATATTTCCTAATGCGTATATACTGTGTAGAAAGTTTGAGTTGGTTCCAATCAAATTTGATTCTTTACAAATTTTTAAAGTTGCTCAAAAATTGGGCCGAAGTCCCTGTACTGTAGTACAGGGTTTTGGGCCAAATTTTACCAAAATTGAAAGAAAAAATTGTCCACTTTTATAATATTTCGTGATACATATACATGTTCTTATGTTGTGTAGAAAATTTGAGCTGATTTTGATCAAATTTGGCTTTTTTGTACAAATTTTAATGTTAATCAAAAATCAGGCAAAAATGCCTGTACTGTTACAGTACAGGAACTTTGGCTAAATTTCATCAAAATTGAAAAGCAGAAACATTTTTGTTTTTATAATTTTTCCTGATGCATTGCTGGTTAGACAATAGAGCAAAATGGTCAAAAAATGTCCAAAGTCCGACTGTTATTTCAGGCTTGGTCCCACTAGTACCCACTAAATCATGAAACAATCACTACATTACTATTAGATTAAAACAACAAGGCTGTATGACCTTGTTATTATACTATGGTCAACCAGTTTCTCTATAATAACATTCATTGTTAGGATTGTACAATTACTTTATTAGCAGTTTTCATGTTCTCAATTTGCTCCTTCTGTTTTATACGTTCCTGATCAAACTGCTCCCTAATGCCATCTATCTCAGTAGTCTACGTAATAAATACAACATTAGTCAGTTAAACATATACTAGAAATAAACAGTATCTATTATTACCAGTTCTTGGTTGGACTTTATTTCATTATTAAGTTTCTTAGTTAACTCGCTGACCTATTAAATACATGTATAAGTGGAGTGATATACATTTCTCAATGATAATATAAACAACAACAATATTTACTTCAGTTTTGTGTTTTTCTTGACTCTCAGTCACCAATCCTTTTTGTTTATCAACTTCACTACTGTAAGCAGCAACTTGAGTAACCAGGGCATGTAATTTTTCTTTCAATTCCTTTAATTCCTTAACTCTATTCCCCTCTATTTCCTCCAACTCTTCTACTTTCTAACAAACATTAGATTCAGATTAAGCTACCATATGAATCAAATTAAGACACACTTTCTAGCTGATATCATATTTAAACTACTAATGAATATTTCTGTTTGATGTTAATGATATGAATGAGGTTTCTAAATGCTATGGAGACCTGCTACATGGAAGCCATGCATAAAATACCAGAAATTCACCACCTGTCATAACTATGTCTCCATGAATATGTTTAAAACAGATAAACCCTCCTATGAGGTGTTACCATTATTTATACATTACAGCTATAATTTTTAGCATTCCCATTTAAGAACAATTGCACGATGGCTCATACTTATAAAATAAATCTGCTATAATGCTTTTAACAAATATATACCTTTTTCAGTTTAGCTCGTTCCTGACTTAAAATAGAAATTTGTTGCGTAAAATCTATTTTTGATTTTTCACTTTCAGTAGTCACAGATGTACTAAAAAAACGTGGTCTCTGTAACATAAGATATAAAAATAAAGTTATTATTAGAAAATGTATACCTTTAATGTTGATTTTGTTTCAATAGGATTGTACTTTTGCTGTAACTCAAGATATGCTTTCTGCAAAGCATCGTGTGTCTCCTTCGTTTCAGTTAAATTATGCTCCAATTCTTTACACCGACCCTGAACTTTCTGTAACTGGTCTGTCAGTTTTTGGTGTAACTCTTGTCCTTCTTTTTTTTCAGCTTCAAAATCTTCCTTATAAATTTTGCACTAAAAATAATAATATATCAGAGAGAGATGACATTTTGGAATGATTATGAGTTAAATTTTGACAATTTTGTTGCAATAAATCTTTGTATATGGTATATGCTATCAAAGTTTGCACAGTTATCTATGATTTGAAATACAAAGCATAGAGATACATGTACATGTGCAGTAGGTACAGTGAAGTCAATGTATGTAAACACAATTTTGTAATAACAAACAACATCCAGAATAATCATACCTGAGCTTCTTCGACTTGCCATTTCTCAACTAGCTGATGTATCATCTCTTGCTTAGCTTTTAATTGAGTTTTGGCTTCTTTTTTCTGTTGTTCAAGTGCTTGTTTTGACTGAGACACAACTTGGCTTTTATCATTGACAGCTTGTTGTAGAGCAGCTATTGTCTCATCTTTCTCCACTAAATTTTTTGTAAATGTGTCCTTTAATTTTTGTAAATCTTCAATGAGCTTTCTATTTATTGCTTGTAAAGCCTCAATTGTCTTAAAATTAAAATAATAATAATAATTATTAAAACATTATTACTGTTTAGTACTTTATTTTCAAGGAGCAAAACTTTCGCTGTTTTTGTGGTTAGTATGCAACTACCAAATTAAAGATCCCCTAAATATTCAATTGCCATTAAAGGCATGGCATTAACATTGCAAATCAAGTTATTTCCGTGAAAAAATTATTTTTATTAATTAGTGAAATTTTAGCTCCGCAAATTAAAGCACTAAACGGTATTTATTACTGTGTTGTCTCTCTCTCTCTCTCACAAAATAAAATTAATTATAACAATTAATAATTTACTTCATTTTGTTTATTGATATATTCCATTTGTTCATGAAGCTCCTGTCTAATTTCATCATTCTCACCCTATTAAAAGAATGATTGCAATTAAGTAAACCATTAAGAAATTAATTACTTCCAATTTGGTATTTATTTGTAAATTATTAGTATATAGATCTGCTAAGATTGGTCAAAACAGAAAATTTTTACCATTTTTTCAGTAGCTTCAATTTTTTCAGCATTGTCTTGGAGTTCCTCTTCTCTTTCTTGTGAATCAGATGCTTCTTGAAGCACATAATTTGCCATCCTAAAAACTAATCATCATTGATAGATCTAATAGTCCAATTATAAGACAGCACATTTTGATGAACAAAAGATTAGTAGTGCATGCATTATTAAATATTTAGGCATTCTTCTTACATGTAAATACATATACCTGCTTTATTCAAAAGGCAACATTAACAGGCTAACACGAGGGCTAACAGGCTAACAGCCCATACATGTAGGTGTGGCCAAGCAATCACCTGAGCATACCAAACTAACCAAAGTTTAAATTTTACAAAAAAAATTATACAGTGGATCAAAATTTTGTGATCACAGCATAAAAAAGTAACGGTGCTTGTGGAGCACTGAGGACATCTCTGTAGTCTTTAGTAAAAAGAAGACAGTTAAAAGCAAAAATTAAGAAGACTATGTATTATAATATAACTATGATAATCTAGCAACTCATTCCGATGCAAAATGTGTTGTTTTAGTTTTTGTGCTTCTAATGTACTAACGACAGACCAGAGTCTAAAGGTGTGATGAATCCTGCCTGACTGCCTCAGGTTTGAAGAGTGCTGCCATTTCTTCTGCTGTCAGTTGTGGTTTCAGATCTTTCATTGAATCATCAGTTTCATCATTTACTCCAGTACTTGCTTGAGAATTATCGCTGGGTTTATATATAGCATGAATATGTGGTGTGTTCTGATCCTGATTAGCAGCATCATTCTTATACAATTTAGTCCCTTTAACTAATTCCTTTAATGTCTGCAAATAAATTATACTAAGCAACCAATACAAGTGAAATTTATACTTCATTGGCTCTCTTCAGTCCTTCACATTCATTCTTTAGTATTTCTAGCTGATCCTTTAGACTAGCTTGCTCCTGACCATAAGATCTCAGTAATTCTTCTTTATTATCTAACATATGTTTCATCCTGGCCAGCTCACTATCCTAGTACATGTAATTGTCAGTAAGCACACTAAAACACACACACACACAGCAAATTTTATGCATGCATGCAAGAATCTATTACTGATTGTTGCTTGGACTTCAATTCAGTCAATTGTTCATGGCTTGATTTAAATTCTTCAAATTTCAGCTTTAGTTCTTCATATTCATTATGTATCCTTTGTCTGTCATTTCTTTCAGTTTCAAAGTCTTGTTTGTAAACAGCATTCTATAAAATGAGGCATGTACACCTATATATATATATTACTATATTGTAGCCATTCATTTTTTAAATTAGTGTTGGCATGTTAAATAGAACATACTCATGCATGCATATTACTGTAAATAAGTTGTGGTCTACAGCCAACTTAGTATTGTGAAGCGATAAAAATCATACTGTGCTGTTTACCAACTAGAGTAGTCTTGTGTTTATACAGGAAAATGTAGCATAGCTGCAGCATACCATCAAAAGTAAACAAAAATAGCATAGATGATGGTTTAGAGCTAATAGCTATAAACAGCTATAATCCATTATTATGGTGAATCTAACTTCATACATTACTGAAACCTATTTAGTGATATTGGCCACCCCATCAGAATACAACCTCATGAAAGTGAACTGATGTAAACAAACCTCTGTTTCTTTTAGTTTAATTCTTTCAACTAAATCTTCCATTTGCTTCACTTGTGTTTTATATTTCTCCATTTCTTCAAGTTTTCCTTTTTGCTCTGCTACAACAAAAACTAATTCTTCATTTTTTAAAGTTTCTTGACACAATTCGTCAACTTTTTTAGCTAATTCAGAACTTAACTCATCAACTGTTTTTGTTGTCTCGGCCAATTGCTAGAGAATTACTGGCACTAAATGCATTTTATATTATAATATTATCATACTTTTTCCTTTTCTTCAAGTGATTCTCTGAGCTGTGTTTCTATTAATTTCGATTTCTGAATCTCTTCATCTTTTTTCTAAGTAAATACCCGCAATTGCATGATTATTGTAAAAATCAGTTACACGTCACATACTAACCAATTGCTGTTTCTCCAACTCTTCTACTTTAGACGTTAGCTGTGCTAGAGTATCCTGATAATTTTTAATCTGTTCATCCTTGTGCTCACAATCTTTTTTCAACTGGTCTCTTTGTAGTTCAACTTTATATAGATCAGTCTATAGAATAATTATTAGTTGATCTATTATACAACATTTTAGATCACATTACTGGGCATGCATGCTAGCTAGCACTATTCTGCATGGCTGGACTAGCCAGCCAGACCAAGCTATATATATATAGCACCAAAGGACTTAATGCCTTGGACAGACTACTAGTACAATACTGATAAAATCTAAATTAGTCCAGGATCTAGTGACATATTTGCCAGAATAGCTTGCCTTTTCTGTAGTAGATGTATCAGACCTAGCTCTGTCATGGCCGATCGGAAAGCGACCTTTCTTCTCCGCCATCATTAATTTCCTTTCTAGTATTACATCTAGCTAGAATCTATCTGGATCACTACCATATGATCACAACTGATTTCAATCATGACTCAGCCTGATACATCCGTGTATCACTATCAGCAGCCTGCACACAGCTAGTGCACAGCAATCAGCCTATAGGATGATACAATCATAATCAGCCATGATACAAGACAACCTGGGCCTGCTGGAGTACAGCACATGCAGTACTGGTTCAGCCAGAGCAGCAGACAACTGACATGATTCATGATTGATGCCAGCGAGGGCTGTATCAAAATAGATATCAGACTTGAATAGTTGATTTTGGGTGGCTAAGCATGTAGGCGGGGAGCTAATGCAACTGTGCCACTTCCTGCCCGAATGCAATGCTGGACCACAATGTATACCAAAAGGTATTGGCAACACCAAAACAGTAACTTTGAAAAGAAATTTGCAAATGCAAAACAGTACCTTTTAAAGACAATGACACAATTTAAATAATTCATTATTACGCAACAAAATTAAAATAAATTGTAATTTGTTCCTAAAATAGCTGATGATACAAAGTAATTACTACATGTATGCTCCTTCCCCTTCTCTCTCTCCCTTAGACTGTTTATTCTGCTTGAACTATTCAGTGAGTCAACAAAATCAGGCCATTCTTGAATTTCTTGTACAGGGTCATAAAACCACAAGCAGCTATCAATAGACCACAAAATATGAGATACAGTGTCAGACTGAAATGATCAGCTATCATAATAAATAGAAATAATAATATACTTTGATAATAATAGATCTATTTATAATACTTACTGCTTGGTATTATAAGACAAATAAACAGCATTAATAACCTGAGGAGAGACAGGGAGAGAGAGGGGGGAGTAAAGGAAGATGACAAGAGAAAGTAAATACCAGGTAACACAAAAACACTGTGTAAAGAAGTACAGGTACAGCAATAATTATGGAAAGAAGCAAATTGACTAATGGACACAATAGGAAATATACTGTATATCAAGTTGTAAAGGTACAAATGTACATTTACAATGAAATTTAGATACCATTATTCCTTCTAAATACCTCACTAAGACTTCTATTAATTTTTATACATGTACATGTAAATGCATATACACTCATAATGACCATAGGAGATGAAATGGTTTCCGTCTATTGCAAAAAAATTGGAAAAAATGAAGGCTAAAAATGTAGTGAAAATATAATTATTACGAAATGTAAGACACAACATTGATTATTTTATACAACATTAAATTTCTATGAAGAAATTTCTTCAAAGCAACTTTTAAAAATTGTAAAAAATCCAAATTTGATTGGAACCAGCTCAAACTTAGTACACAAGATAAGTACATGTATACAGCCGTATGTATCACAAAAGATATAAAAATGGAGAATTCTTTCCTTTTCAATTTTGTTTGTACTACATACTGTACAAAGATTCTGGCCCAATTTTTGAGCAAATTAGAAAATTCATAAAAAATAAATTTCGATCGGAATCAGCTCAAACTTACTGCACAACATAAGAGCATGTATATGTAATTATGTATTAGGAAAAAAAGTAGTGTTGTTTTAGTTAACTATAACTAAAACTAAAAGCACTTTTAGTTTGGTCTTTTGACTTTTTAGTTAACTAACTATAACTAACTAAAATGAAAAAAGAATTTCCTAAAACTAACTGTAACTAACTAAAAATGAGGCTTTGCTTCCAAAAACTAACTAAAACTAACTATAAATAATTTGTAGAGTGAACTAACTAAAATAACTAAAATAACTAATAAAAACTAAAAACTTAGACCCTATAACTATAACTAAATGTCTTCAAAAAGCCTTTTAGTTAACTAACTAAAACTAACTATATGAAAATGATTGCATCATAAAACTAATAAAAACTAATAAAAATTTTCCACACGTTGCTTAAAACTAACTATAACTAATAAAATCTGTTTTTTGATAACTAAAACATCACTAAAAAAAGATAAAAATGAAGAATTCTTTCCTTTTTAATTTTAACAAAATTTAGCCTGAGACAATATACTGTTCATGTAGTACAGGGAATTTGGTCCAATTTTTGAGCAACTTTAAAAATTTAAGCTTGATCAACATCCCTCAATTTTTCTACAATGTACAGAAAAAAAAGGAGAACTCTCTTGTAGTGATTTTTTGGTGAAATACCCTGTACTATAGCCCATAGTCTTAGACCCAGTTTTTGAGCCATTTTGTAGCTATTACCTCAATTAAAGGTGTTTCTCCAGCATGTCAATGAGTGATTGTCCCTCCACTTTACTCCATCCCCAGTATCCATTACACTCTTCCACAGCAGTGTCACTATAATTTTATACATCTATTAATGTGGAGGATTCTAGCACCTCCTGAATATGATCAATGATGATAATAGAGGACTCAGTCTCATTCTCATCTATTAATAACAATAATAAATAACAACAACAACAACAACAACAACACATGTGTACCATGTAGCGCTTTAATTTTGTGGAGCTAAAATTTCCCGGATTAATAAAAATCAATTTTTTGAGGAAAAATTTTTGTGGATTTGCAAAGTTAGTGCCACACCTTTAATGGCAATTGAAATTATAGCGGATCTTTAATTTCACGGTTGCATGCTAACCCGCAAAAAAGCGAGTTTATCTCTTCGAAAATAAAATGCTATACGGTAATAATGTACCAGTTTCTTCCTTTAGCTTTTCCCTATTTTAATATTTTGTTGAGCTTTTCTAAATGTCCCCAGTTCATTGAGACCAGCATCAGTGAACTGTTCCTCAAAATTATCCTCAGTCCTTCTTTAGAGAGTCAAAATATTCTAAAATAAAAATAAATAAACAAATAAAGTAGTAAATAGATAATAGACAGCATTACAATTTCACTGTAAATATGTTTAATGCACATGCAGCTACATGTACATGTACATTCAAGTCACTCAATAAAGAGATATACTAGGACTAGTAAACTACACGTATATGTACATGTACATGTAATGTATAAAGCATTCAAAAGTATAAAACATTAAAAAATTTGCCTCCACACAAAGAAGGTACATGTACACAGTGGCGGATCTATGGGGGGCCAGGGGGGGCAATGCCCCCCAAATTTCTTGGAGTAATGTAAACTTTGGTTTACCTATGTAAACTGTGAAGCAGCTGCAGTACTGGACTATGTAAACAATCTTTAAACCACAATAGAGCTCATTTTAACAGGCTTAGTCTTTATAATTTTTACTTCCCTAAAAGTTTTGCACAAGCTTAGTTGACCACACCCTTAATTACCCCTCCCATCTCATAATTGCCCCCCCAAATTAAATCCTAGATCTGCCCCTGCATGTACATGTATATCAATTGATCTATGTACATGTACACATGTAGACCAAGGCTGCTATGCTATTACTAATTATTATATTAGTAATTGATTCTCTTCCTCGATCAATACTGATCCTACATTAAATTCCTTTCTCTTCAATCCATGTAAAAAATAAAACTATCAAAATGACAGTCCAAGGGATTCCTCTCTTACTAAGTGCTCTTCAACAATGGAAGGTCCTTTGACCCATAGTCTCATGTGAACTGGTTGCCATTTTTAATGAAGCGTTTTCATACAATTGCGACTCCATTGTTGATGATAGACCCCACATAATTATTACGGGGTTTTGGAGCATGATTTGATCCGTCTCCTGATGGTACCGACGGGATTTGTGGCTTCAGCAGAGAGAATGTTTAATGACATCTTGAGTTAGGATTCCTAGAGAGAGGAGGGAGGGAACAAATTGCCAATAAAACATACATGTAATGTACACTTACATGTAATGTACACTTACATGTACACTAAGTTAGCCTGAGTATAGTAACATATAGCTGGTAACTTTGGTGGGATAAAATTCTTGTGAATTACTAAATGATTAGCAGGTCTATTGTTACTAAATTGGCCACCAATTTGTGGCCATGTGCCATTGAGCATGCATGTACATAATGGTACAATAGGGCTGGTTTTATTTTGATAAATGAAACAACAATGATAACAATAAATAATAATAATGATAATAATTTTATGTATGTAGCTTATAGTGGAGAATCATGGAGGGAGTTAATTTTGGCGAATTGCTAAATTTTGGTGATTGGCAAATTTTAATTTGGCAAATTAGTAGCTACTTGCCATTGAGCATGCATATAATGCCTCAAAATGGAGGATTTCACTTTGGCGAATGGCTATCAAAATGCTAAATTTGTCAAATTTAATTCCACCAAAATTTCCTGCTATACGGTACTTGTAGTGCTGCCAATGTACATTGTACATGTACATGTATTTGGGTAGGCACTTAAATTGTCAACAAAAAATTTAGTTCTTTTACAATTACAATTTTTAATATTATAAAAACTATCTGATACATACACATATCCCTTTTATATACAATTATTGTACACAAAAAATAAAGTCAAACTCCGACCCTACGTAAACTTTAAAATATCCCAGACCCCTTACTACATGTAAAACCCCCTTGTACATGTACATTATCGTGTACATGTACCATGGTCTTAGTCGTGTCTCACCGATAGTCCAGCGTCTCTCAAATATGATAATTATTACCTTGAGGAGACAATTATTACCTTGAGGAGACAATTATTACTATGTATTTATTTTAGCGATTTTCGTGATACTGACATTTGGCTGGTATTTAATTTAGCATTACTGATCATTTAATATTAATAACTATTAATAATTTAATCAAAAATTAAAGTTAGCGCAGACTTAAGTTAGTGATTTTTTAAAAACCACTACAATTTGCTACCCACTAACAATTGTCTCCTTAAGGTATAATTATTTTCAGTATGGCACCTTTTTTGAGGGCTGTAAATTTTGCAAATTTGCCAAAAAATCTATTTTGAGGATTTAATTTTTGAGAATTTATGCCACCTGCAATCTTTTACTGTAATAATTTGATTTTAGTGAAATGTAATTTTTGCAAATCTTCAAAAAATCGCAAATTCCGTAAAATTTACAGCCCTCATAAAAGGCACCCTATGGTATCATGGCAATTATTGAACTACTCATGAATAATCCTGTCTGATGCTAATAATATGAATGCATTAGGTTTCAAAATGCTATGGAGACATGGAAGCCATGCATAAAATACTACAAACTCACCACTTGTCATAACCATGTCTCCATGAATATGTTTAATACAGATAAACACCCCCTATGAGGTGTTTACCCATTATTTATACTGGTACATTAAAAGTATAATTTTTAGCATTCCACATTTTGTGCTGTTGCACGATGGCTGATACTTATAAAATAAATCTGCTATAGTGCTTTTAAAAAATACATGTATATTATACCTTTTCCAGTTTAGCTCGTTCCTGACTTAAACCTGAAATTTGTTCCCTAAAATCTATCTCTAATTTGTCAGTTTCAGTAGTCACAGATGCATTAAAAAAGCACTGTCTCTATAACATAAGGTATAAAACTAAAACTATATTAGAAAATGTACCTTAATTGTTGGTTTTGTTTCAATAGCATTGTATTTTTGCTGTACGCTTCCTGCAAAGTAGAATGCTTCTTTTTCATTTTAGTTAATATAATGCTTCAATTCTTCACAGTCTTTGGTGCAACTCTTGTCATTCATTTCTTTCAACTCCAAAATCTTCCTTATAAATTTTGCACTAAAAATGAGAATATATCAGTGAGATATGACATTTGAGGACAATTGGTGGGTTAAATTTTGACGATTTTGTTGCAATAAATCTTTGTATATGGTATCAAATAGTTGTATAAATACCATATAGCCGGAAAATTTGGCGGTCTAAAACTTTGGCGGTTTTGTATTAAAACTGCCTAAATATAATATTGGCGGTCATTTAATTTGGCGGTTTACTATCTTGTCTTTTCTTTAAGCACATGTACTCAGCTCTTCTTGAAGCTGCTCCTTGGTAGTCTTTGCCCACAGTATTGATTCTGTGACTGAAATAGTGAGAAATACTGCCATTTTTAGTATAATTATTAACCCACCTATAATAATTGCAATTATTATTGGCGGTTATAATATTGGCGGTTTTATTTTGAACCGTCAATCCGCCAAATTTAATTCTCCGCCAAATTTTCCGGTTATACGGTAGATTGAATGATCAAAGTTTATACGTGTACATTTATCTATAATTTTATATGTAGATAGGAAGTATGAAGATACATGTCCATGTGGAGTATTTACAGTGAAGTTAGTGTATGTAAACACAATTTTGTAACAACAAAAACATCGAAAATAATCATACCTGTACTTGTTCTACTTGCCATTTCTCATTTCTCAACTAGTTGATGTTCATCTCTTGCTTAGCTTCTAATTGAGCTTTAGCTTCTTTTATCTGTTGTTCAAGTGCTTTTTTGACCAAAACGCAACTTGGCTTTCATCGTTGACAGCTTGTTGTAGAGCAGCTATCGTCTCATCTTTCTCTACTAAATTTTTTGTAAATGTGTCCTTTAATTTTTGTAAATCTTCAGTAAGCTTTCTGTTTATTGCTTGCAAAGCCTCAATTGTCTTAAAATTAAAATAATAATAATAATAAAAACATTATTACTGTTTAGTACTTTATTTTTAAGGAGCAAACTTTCACTGTTTTTGTGGGTTAGCATACAACCACCAAATTAAAGATCTCCTAAATATTCAATTGCCATTAAAGGCATGGCATTAACATTGCAAATCAAGTTATTTCTGTGAAAATTTATTTTTATTAATTCGTGAAATTTTAGCTCCACAAATTAAAGCACTATATGGCATTTTATTACTGTGTAGTCTCTCTCTCTCATAAAAATAAAAATAATTAATTATAACAATTAATAATGTACTTCTTTTGTTTAGCAATAAATTCCACTTGTTCATGACTTGAAGCTCCTGTCTAATTTCATCATTCTCACCCTATTAAAAGAACGATTGCAATTAAGTAAACCATTAAGAAATTAATTATTTCCAATTTGGTATTCATTTGTAAATTATTAGTATATAGATCTGCTAAGATTGGTCAAAACAGAAAGTTTTACCATTTTTTCAGTAGGCTTCAATTTTTTCAGCATTGTCTTGCAGCTCCTCTTCTCTCTCTTGTAAATGAGATGCTTCTTGAAGTACATGATCTGCCATCCTAAAAACTGATAAATCTAATAGTCCAGTTATAAGAGAGTACACTTTGATGAACAAAAGATTATAATAGTGCATGCATTATTAAATATTTTAGAATCTTTCTTAGTCTGGCCCCGCCCCTTCGCTGGGCGGGGCCAGACTAAATCTTTCTTTACCTGTTTGACATGTTTGTTAAAGAAGAAGGTGCACTATAAAACTATCCACGCAACGTCATAGAATCGCTTCCGCCTGTCACCGTATAAAAGGAGGTGCCCAGGGCACAATATGGCGGCCACATTTGAAAATAACAAAATGGCTCCCGCTCTGGCACTGTTCTTATCATGGCTAAATCACTAGCAAAACGCATTATAAAAACATTAAAATTAGTAAAGGCGAGAGAGTTAACCTACAAGCACAGGTAGAAAGCATGGCAAGAAGAGAAATGGTATAATTGACCTGAAGTAATAATTTTTTACATTATTATCAAATATTTATATTGTATATTCTGAAAATCTGTCAACAGCCTAACAAACATGGTCAATAATGCTATCAGGCAGGTTATAAGTGATAGTGGCAAAGGAATAGCCCTCATTACTACATAAAAAACCAGCCTAGGAACTGCCACCACTGGGACCACTGAAGGCCTTGCCGACTACCAATTATCAGCCACCCTCATCAAGTAGAAGAGGTTACAGCAAAAGACCCCCACTTGGTCCTCAATCAGATCCTAGTACTGGTAGCAGTTGCAACATTCAACGATCCACTGGAAGTAGTAAATACAAAAATTATATTATTCTAAATTATTAAGCATATA